GCATTGTCATGTCTGTGACCCCTGCACACGTGAGGAAGGCCAGCATTTGGCCTCACTGCCTGAGGCGACAGGCTCAGCACAGTGTGGTGGCGTCACCACTGTGGGTTCCGGGCCGGGTGCTTTTGGGGTGTGGGTGGGTGTGGCCTGTGGACTTTTCAGGCTTCCAGTGATGACACGAAGGATCTGGGTGTGTGGCATGAAGCACCTGGCCTTGGGCTTCAGCCACGTGTCAGAGTCACGTGGGGGGTGCAGAGGACCACGGATATCCTGTGGCCCCACCCACAGTTTCTGACGGATTGGCATTTATCTCACTCATCAGACAGGCATTGTGTCATCTCACCTTGTCACTGAAAGGTGGGCATGGCACGCTGAGGAATTTTGAGAAAGAGAAGTCATAGTCACATATTACAGTACATCATTATAATCTTGTTAATCCTACTTTGTTTTTTGGGTGTTTTTGTTTGTTTGTTTTGTTCTTTGAGACAGGGCCTCACTATGTAGTTGAGACTGACCTGGAACTCACTGTGTAGCCCAGGCTGGTCTGTGATCCTTCTGCCTCAGCCTCCTGAGTGCTGGGATTATAGGCGTGCGCCATCACGCCCAGCCAGTCTTACTGTATTTATAAATAAGGCTTCATCATAGGTCATTTGTACAGAGAAAATAGTATACACCTGGTTCATTTCTAGCCACAGTCATGGGTATTCACAGGGAGCCTTAGAGTGAACCCCCACAGAAAAGGGGACAGAACAGTGGCATCAGAAGCTTGATGTGGCCCTGGCGCTTGCTGGTATTTTCAGCTCCTCGGTGATTCCAAACCCTGGGGTGTGAACCCCACCGACCATCCCGCAGCATAGCACCTCGTGTGTGAGCCTTCACCTCTGAGCCCGCCTGTGTCTCCAAAGTGAGCTGGTCACATCCGCGTGTGCTCATGGGGACGAGGTGCGAGCTAAGCAGGTGATGCCATCTGGCCTGCACGCAGCAGTCTCACACACCTGACCTGCAGAATTCAGCAGCGCTGTGGGTGTTTCCCCGTCAGCCTCAAAAAGGAGCATTTCCAGGTGCGGAGGGGCACAGCAGCCAACACAGCAGCAGTGTGCCATTACAGCCAACGGCAGAAATGAGAGGGGCTGCGGAGGATGCCACGCCCTGCACTAGGCTGTGGCCGACCCTGCTGCTCAGTCTCGACACCCACCCTTCCCTGAGCCCCAAGAGACAGGCCTTCAAGTAGCCATGAGCATCGGCCAGAGTCCACACGCCCGGTGACGCCCTTGCCATCCCAGGCAGGAGCGCATCTGAGTGAGACGGCACCTGCTTCCTGCTGGGTGCTGGGCCTCTGATGGAGGACAAAGGGAGGCCAGCTGGGCTTCCGACCATGGGCGAGTGTCTCAGCAGAGGGACCCCTCACACGGTCACGTTGCAGAACTGTCACATTTGGACTCCATTAGCTTTATGTCACTTGGCTGTGTCCAGTAAGCTGCAGTGCCTGTGTTCAAAGCAAGGTCGGTCTACAGGGTTTGCAGCTCTGCAGCCCATGCTCCCCTCCCCAGCCACCTCTATCTAGAAAACAATCTGGGATCGTTGGCTGACACAATGTTTCAATCCACCCCCTTAATGACTTAATGAATTCACAGACCGGAGCGTGGCCGTAAGTAATCTGTAATCTATAGAAACATGGACTTCCAGGTGAAACTGGAACTTTAGAGATCATTGGTTTTTCACTGGTGTTTTCTTTTTAAATGTTGCTGGCTTTTAACCAGGTAGTGCTTACCCATGGTACAGTTCAAAAGTTACTAAAATGTTCAGTGAGTCTTTCCCTAGCCCCAGGCCTCCCTGTACCTGGAGGCAGCTTTGTCTGTCCAGAGTCCTGTCCAGCACTTCCACCCCTGTGCCTCAGAAGGCCGGGCTTCTCCACAGGCACATCCACAGCCAGTACAGGGAGGGAGGCTGTGGACATCTCCAGGTTTCTCTTACCCTCTCAGCCAGTCACCCCACTTAACCCTTCCTGCTGCATATACTGGGGCTGCCTCCTAAGATCCTGGGACCCAAAGTCCCTCTGCTAAACATATCTGAACCCTACTCCCTTGTGTCAGAAGTGAAGAATGATTTCCTGTCCACTGGTCTCAGGGTCAGGAGGAACATGAGGTGTCATCTCTGGAATCCAGGTGTCAGGAAATTCTGGACACGGGAAAAGGAGGAAGCAGAAACCTCTGCTTTTAATTCTAGCCACACACGTCCAAGAGGGGCTTTTCAATACAAGATGCAGACCAACCCTGGGCACTGGGCTGTGGCCTAGCTCCTAAGGAGCAGCTCACCCTCAGGGAAGATTCTTGGGACTCTATAAAGGCCCCCTTTGCACTGTGGTTTCTTTTGATTGGTTTTGAGGTATTTGTTTTGTTTTTGCAGTACTAGGATGGAACCCAGGGGTGCTCTATGACTGAGCTACATCCCCAGTCCTATTTTTGATACAAGTTCTTGCTAAGTTGCTCAGGCTGGCCTTGAACTTGCAGTCCTCCCTGCTTCAGCCTCCCGAGTGTTGGAATCACAGGCATGTGCCACCACTCCTGGCTTTGCACTTGGGTTCTGCACCCCACTTCTGTGTCTGCCCACTTGGGGTTCGCAGGTACTCCTCTTCGTGCCCATTGTGTCCACAGTTGAGTGGCCCAGAGCATGGCCCCCCAGAGGGCCAGCATTCTTTTTCTTATCCAATTATGCCAACAACGTAGCCTTTAAGCAATTTTAGCCAGGATTTTCTCACAGAGGAAATGAGGGCTTTATTATCAGCCTCCTTCACAGCTTGCTGCTCCACTTGGGGGTCAGCATGCCTGGATCCAGCAGCGGCAAGATGGACCATGTCTGATTGAGTGAGATTTGCAGGCAGGCTGCATTCCTTCTTTATCTGGGGAACTGCGTTGTCAGGGAAGCTGGAAGGCATCTTTCAGTCAGCGGTGCCCAGGTGGCATCTTCTGCCATTACCAAGAGCGTCGATTTTGTGTCGACAGGGAGACGAGACTCACTTTCCTAAAAGCAAGACTTCTTGATGAGATTTTCTTCCCCGGCAGCGGAGGTAGAGGCAGACCCACATTGTTCAATCTGTCCCGTCCTGTGGTGCACATGGAAAGTGGTTGGTATCACAGCGGTGGGCCTTCCTTATCTGTGCGGAGAAAAATGGCAGATGTTCTTCCAGTCACCTTTTCCTTGATTGGGTAACATATGCCCTTGGGAAAAAAACTTCCGAAGGTATATAAGGATGTATGACTCCCCAATCTCTCTGTCAGACGCGTCTCCTGGCCACCCAGCCCCCCTCCCCAGAAGCAGCCACTGCTAATTAGCTGAAGCAGCCTTTCCGAGATGGTCTTCGGTGTTTTCAAGTGGAGAGAAGTATTTTTAACACAAAGGAGGGCATTTTGTAGTCTCTGTTCCGCACCTTGCTTTCTGCTCCACACATCCACCACGCGTACTCACAGTTGCCCCCTCCCCTTTAATAGCTGAGCTCCGTTGCAAAGCTGTACCGTAATTTAGTTAATCGCGTTAATGGACATTTTGGTTGTTTCTGATCTTTGGCTATTACAATGCCGCGACGAACATCCTTGTATGAAACGTTATTTCACACGTGTGAGTTTAAATTCCCAAGTAGAATTGCTAAGTCAAAGAGAAGGTGCCTCTTTCACTGGTTTCACCGTGGTATGCACAGCCACGTTACCTGCTGCCCTTCAATGGCCTGTGCCTTCTCCACTCGCCATGCCCTCACCACCCAGGCGGGCCTGCACCTCTACGGTTGTTTCTGATCTTTGGCTATTACAATGCCGCGACGATCATCCTTGTATGGAACGTTATTTCACACATGTGTGAGTTTAAATTCCCAAGTAGAATTGCTAAGTCAAAGAGAAGGTGCCTCTTTCACTGTGGTTTCACCGTGGTATGCACAGCCACGTTACCTGCTGTCCTTCAATGGCCTGTGCCTTCTCCACTCGCCATGCCCTCACCACCCAGGCGGGCCTGCACCTCTGCAGGTGAGCAGTGTCCTATGTGCCATGTTGATCTGCACTTTTTTATGGTGACGCCGGGCTGTGTTTTAGGAGGGTGGATATGTAGGGCATGTGCTGTATCAGCTAAGAGTCACGGAGCTCTTCCCTCAGTGAGCTCATGCAGCCCTCGTCCCTGCAAGGACTTCCGTTTCCAGCACCGTTTCACAGGCAAGGGCATCCATGGTGTGCAGAGTGGCAGAGCTGACTCCTGACCTCCAGGCTACACCACCTCCCACCCAGAGGGGCTTTGGGCACAGAGCTCCCCAGAGGCGGGGCCCTTGGAGAGTTGTGCAGGAGGCCCCAGAGGACAGCCCTTCCCCATCAAACGAATGGCCCACATGGCTCACAGCCCTGTCTTCCTCAGCTCCTGGGCCCTCAGCCAGCCCCCCCCCAAGAAGAAGATAGACCCTGCCCGGCCACACCCCTGTGACCCACCTCCTCAGCCAGGCTTCATCTCCCAGCATCGCAGTTAGCGGGCCAAGCCAGTGATGTCAGCCCCCACGATCCAGTGACCGCCCAGAAACCCCACCTATGAGCACGTGAGGCTTTGGGGACATCCGGATAGAAACCGTGACACCAGGGATCACCCACCACCCATCCTTTAGTCATTCACTGAGCAGCCACCATAAGCCGCTTTGGGAACGAAACAGACATTGCCCCTGCCCTCAAGGAGCTTAGCCCTCCTGGGGCAGAGCAGAAGACAGGAGCACATAAACAATACGTGGAATGATCGCCGAGGGTCACGAAGGAGCAAAGAAAGGTGCACAGCTGTGGAGCTAAGGAATGGGAGGGCTGACTTCAGGTCAGATGGTCTGGGAAGTCTCCATTGGTGAGAAGTCCGCACCCCCTCTAAGTATGGGGGATTGAACTCAGGACCTTCACACTAAGCTGCATCCCCATCCCCATCTCTTCTTTAATTTTTCATTTTGACATGGGATCTCACTGAGTCACTAAATTGACCAGCCTGGGTTTGAACTTTCAGTGCTGCCTCAGACTCCCAGAGTGCTGGGGTTATAGGCATGTGCCACCACTTCAGGCTTGATGAGGTGACTTTGAGCCTGAGTTAAGCTCAAGGAGCCAAAGAACTGGGGGAGGAGGGGGTTCTAAGCAGAAGCACAGGTGCAAAGGCCCTGAGGCAGGGACAGAGAGAGCACCATCATTCTCTAGAAAATAGCCCAAAGTGGCTACAGTAACTGGTCCCAAGGAGAGGCAAAGGCTAGTGGGAGATGGGACCAGAGAAGTGGGCAGAAGCCAGGGGAGTTTTGAGAACATAAAGGAAGAGATTTGACTTTGAAAAGATGGATGCCTTTAATTTCTCTATGAAAGCTGCACTGCGGAGGCCAGCCAGGAAGTAGGGAAAGCCAAGAAGAGGCACTCTCGTCCCAGGAGAGGGCACTGGTACGGAGGGCCAGGAAAGGATAATGGGTTGGAGACAAGAGGACTGGGGATGTGTTGAGGTGGGGAGCTTCTCCCAGCACTGGAGACTGGGAGCAGCTCACTGCCCAGCAGGGCCGGGTGGGGCCCTGGAGAGAGCTGCTCAGTATATAAATATCTTTAATGAATAAATAGAAGTGCTTTTAGGGCTGGCAGAGTCGTATCATTTCCACCTGCCGTAAAATTTCATTAGAAGCAGGCGCTGCAGGGGAGAGGCATGGCTGTGATAAATCTGCCTGCCCACCCTCACCCTGCCTCTGTCTGTGCCCTTCTCAGCCTCTCCTTGGAGAGTCCTGGGGCCCAGAAGAGCCGGGCCCTTCCCTGCCCTTCCCACACATTTGCACAGGCAGGAGGCTGTGGCAGCCAGGGACACGTGGCTTGTCACTGAAAACCGGGGACCTGGCTGTCCTCAGCTGGGAAACAGGTGTCTGGTTTCCAGTCCCAACTGATGCTCCTGATGTCAGTTGGGATGGCGGGGGTTTCGATATGGAGCAATTTCTGGAATGGTAGAGCAGGCTGAGCACACCTGGGGCATCCGGTTTCCCAGTGAGCAAAGGGAGAGCAGGCCACTGTGCTAAGAGCCCACAGGACCAGCAGCCTGGGCCCTCAGAGCTATGTGCTTCCACACCGGCTAAATGCCTGGCTGTACCAGGCAGTGAACATGCACCAGCTTTGTTGCAGCCTGACTGTCACCAGCCCGTTTTGAAGATGAGAACACTGAGGCCCAGAGAGAACAAAGACCTGGACTACCCCATCTGAGCCAGGTAAACATCCACATCTCTGCAACCTCACCAACCTCTTCGAGTTTTTTCAAACATAGTGGGGCTGAGATCATGTTTTCTTGCACCTAGAAATTATCCAACCGTGAATCTTTCAAAGGACTGTGATGGGAAATTCCCCAAATGACAACTCTGTACTCGTCTCTTACTGAAGGCCGCTGGTCCCAGTACTTCATGGCATCCCCTGTGGCATCTTCCAAAGTTGCCACACCCTCTTGCATTTTTCTAAATGAGGAAAGGAAGCACAGAAGAATCAAGGAACTTGGCCAAGGTCACACAGCTGTGCCTCTAAAGCTGGCAGGAGTCCTCTTGCTCCTCCTTTGTCCCCACTGCCACCCTCCCCTAGCCAGCGGGTGCCAGGCCAGGAAACATGGCCAAATGGACAGGCCAGCTGGCAGCCTGCCGGGGCCCGTGGTTATCAGTTAAGCTCATTAAGTGGCCATGACAGGACATGGCCTGGGCCAGCTGCCTCCCTCCCTGCCTCCCTCCTGCCCTCTTGGGAGCAAAACTGGCGGATGGACTCCTGCTCTTAGCAGCTACAGGCAAAAGTCTCTGTAGCTGCAGGAGAGTTAAAGAGGCACGGAGCAGACTCCAGAAGGTGGTCTTGTGGACCCAAAGTGGCCTGGCCTCTTCCCAGCTGGCCCAGCAGATCGACTAGGCAGTGAACATGGGGAGCCAGGCTGATTCCCTGCTCCCGGCTGTGGCCCTGGGCAAGTCACCTTACCCCGCCCCCTTTCCTCATCTCCCCAATAGTACTTACTGTCTGGATCCACGACAAGCTAATGCACACGGGGCTAAACCAGTGCTGATCAGTGGTTGTCACCGTTTCCAGTATCGGTTTCTCCTCATGCTTCCTTGCTCCCCGTCACTCCACTGTGAGCACACTTGCCTTGACCTGTACCTTCCAGAGTGAATGACCGACCAATCCATGAATGTATCACTCACCCAGCAGCCAAGGCCCTGCAGGGTGCAGTGTGTCCTGGCAGGCTGGGGAGTGGAGCCAACCTGCCCAGCTGTCCACCCCTGCTCACTGAGGGCCCTGGGCCCTCATCCATGCCTGGCCTCTGTCCATGCCAGCTGTTCCTCTGACCCCACCCGTCCCCACTGGCTGATTCTGCTTGGTATTCAGCCTCCATGCTGCCCTCCTAGGAAGTGGGAAAGCAGTGCTGCCCTCCTGGGGGAGACAGAGGCCAACCACCCACTCTTAACCAGAGTAGGATGGACAGAGGCTCCAGGAGCCCCACCCCCACCCCACCACAGCAGGCTAAGGCTGGGCTGTCTGGCAGCTGTCCTGCAGAGCTTGCTGGCTGTATCTCATCCTCTTCCTGGCACTGCCCAGCCTGGGAACTCCACCTAGTAAGTGCTTTCTCTATGTATCCGCAGCAAATAGCTTCTGAGCACTTACTAGGTAGCACTTACTGTGTCGCAGAGTATAAAGCACACACAAGGCTCCCAGGCTGCTGCCTTCCTTCCAAGGAGGGAAGACAGGAAAACGTGAGGTGGCTTGAGATAGTGGGAAGGGCTGGAAGGAAAAGAGAGCAGCTGGAAAGAAAGTAGCTGTTCATGTCTGGGTGGTCAAGGAACGCGTCTCAGGTGGAGATGTTGGGGTTAAGCCTGGAACAATGAGCGGTGCAAGGGAAGGTGGGAATATTCATGGTAGGGGAAATAGGAAATGCAAAGATCCTGAGGCAGGGGCATGCCTGCATACTCAAGGGACAGCCAGATGCGTGTGTGTGAATGAGGAGGAGACTGTGAGGGGGTGGGTTTGCAGAGGTGAGCAGATGTCAGATGCACTGGGTTCTGTTAGCCACGGGGGTGATCGTTGTCGGCAGTGGGAAGCCACAGCACAGGGGAGGCAGGGAGAAGTGTGGGTTAGTGCCTGAGCCCCGGAGGGTGGAGGGAGGAGGGAGGAGGGGCAGAGACTGAGAAAGGCCACCACGGTTGCAGCAGGAACTGGGTCCTCCTAGGCCTCCGTGTCTCTGGCCCCTGTCTAGAATAATCAGCACTCAGCCTGGGATCGCAAAGGTCAGAGCAACAGACAAAAACATCCAAGGGGAGCAAAGAGGTTCTGGGGACACCTGAATGGACCACAGCTGGGGGCTCTGATGCTTCCCATGGTCCAGGACTGAGGGCAACTAGAATTTCTCTGGGTCAGGGACAGGAAGGGCTGCCAATGAGAAGGCGTGAGGCTGGCAAAGGCCTGCTTTGAGCTGAGGTCTTACAGATGCAAGGCAGAGAAGTTGTCACCACAATCCTGGGCAGGGCAAGCTGTCACCCGTGCCCACACTATATAAGGGAACAGAGGCTCCAAAAAGGGAAGAGTTGGACAACCACACGGGTTATGGAGGATTCTGAGATTTGAACTCTGAACCCACATTCTGGGCCCTGGGGAGTACACAGGGCAGGCAGAGGTCATGGGCAGCAGCTCTCTCTTCCTGAACATCACGAAGGGTATCACAGAGGGGGTGGCATTGGACCCAGCCATACAGGAAGAGTGAGGACCGGTGGTGAGGACCAGGCGGGGAGGGGCACAGAGGCTCAGCACAGTGAAGGGCCTGGGCTCCACTGGAAGAGGGGGCTCCAGGCTCCCACTGTGCAGGGCCTGAGCACAGGGAGTGGGCAGGCAGGAGGAAAGGGGGAGGTCACAGCAAAGGTACCTGGGAGCCGGTCCAGAGTTGGGTTAGGAAACTTCAACGTCAAGGCCAAGCGCTTGCACTGCTCTGAAGCCCAGAGGGTCCTTGGATGGTTCTGAGCTGGGTAGAGGCAGCCAAGTAAACGGCTCAAAGCTGCCCCGTTCTGTGCACGTGGGTGAAGGGAGTGGGCAGGGAGCGGGAGGACTGGGACAAACTGGAGTGGGACACTGACCTCGGAGATGAGAAAAGGACAAACCTGAGCGCTGTCTTGGAGCTGGAAGGGGGCCACATCTGGTCAGGGGAAGGGGGTTGAGGGAGAGGTTAGATCCCCTAGACGCCTCCTCTTATTCATCCATCTTCATCTCTGTGTCCACTTGTCCCTCCTTCCATCCAGCTTGTCCCTCGCTGTTCCAGGGGGGCCCAAGGATGACCAGACTGGTCCGTCCCTCTCTGGGGCAGCCCACAGTGTCATGGGGGAGACCACTGTGACCAGAGGCCATCACCAGCCAACGGGACAAACACACAGCGTCAGGGAGACCGAGGAGGGAGGAACTCGCGGAAGCCAGGTCCCACCTCAGGATGGCGGGTCTGCAATGTCATTGTCCCAAACAAAGGACAGTACAGTATTAGTGTTATTATCATTAATCTAATTAAATGGCAATTACAATTAAGAACACAGCAATAAAAATGCCACCTTGGATTTTAAATGCCTCTTGTCCTCCAGCACAGGGTGAGTGATGTGCCCAGGCTCAGCTCCACACCCCACGGAGGGAGGCACAGTGGCCACGGTAGGTGCTCGGCCACACGATGTTTAAAGTCACAGCTCAGAGATCACAAAGCGCGCCCCACCCCCATTTTACACGCAGGAAAACAGGCCCCAGAGGGGAAATGACAGGCACCAGGTCACCCAGGAGCTTGTGGCAAAGCAGGTTCCAGCCAGGAAGCCCTATTCCTAGCCACCTTCCAGCTCGCTCCTCTAACAGCTTTTTTTTCCCCCAGGAAAAAGCCGCTGTCAGAGGCAGCCATGCTGTTCCCGATTAAACAAGGCAAATTCTATCGGAACAGAATCGGAGCACCCCGGACACCTAATTACACAGTCTGGAATGAGAAACACGGGCCAGAAAACAGAAATATGAACACATGGTACAGCAAGACAACACAGGCACCTTCCCTGTCACCAGAGCTGTCATCTCCGAGAGGCCCCTGAACAAGAGAGGTTCCCTGGTCCTTACATAAGAACCCTGCCCCCTGTCACACCCAGAGGTCCCCTCCTCCCAGCAGCCACCATCCAAGGCTCCAGGCGGCACCAGTGGAGTGGCTCGGAAGTGGCAATGGATGCAAACTTTCCTTCCAGAGCCTGCCCATGAGCCTCATGGGAAACAGGTGTCACTGCAGGTTGACATTGGAGCTGTCAGGGCCCACAGAGCTGGTAAAGCTGTGTGTTTACCTGATTAGAAACAGTTCACTGCAGGTGGACATTGGAGCTGTCAGGGCCCACAGAGCTGGTAAAGCTGTGTGTTTACCTGAAGTTGCCTCGCCAAGGGGAAAGCAGGTACCTTCCTGGGTGCTGCCTGTCAGCCCACAAAAGTCTATCTCCAGGAGGTTCTGTCCCACCCAGAAGTGTCATACGCAGGAGGCTGGCTCTGCTATCCCGGCCTGCCGTGACATGCTGTGGTTACATCTGGGGCAGGACTGTGAGCGGTGAGAGCAGAACCCCTGTCTGATTCCACCTCTGCCTTCCCCACATTGGGCGTACCAGGGCAGACAGGGCCAAACAGGAGAATCCAAGGTTCGATCCACTACAGGGTTGGACATCTATCTCCCTGTGGTAGCCACAGTGTTGGGCCCTGAGGAGGAAAGAAATAAACAGGACGGTGACCCCTGCTCATGAAGGAGGAGAAAGACACCCCAACACACCAAGCAAAAGGAGAGAGTTCGGTGATGTGATGTCTGATAGAAGTAAGTGATAGGGAGAAAATAAACACAGTAATAAAGTAAAGAGCAAATCAGGGTGTTTGTGTGGAGGTGGTGGGAGGGGCTTCTGGAAAGTTCTGGAAAAGCCTCTCAGACAAAGAGCTGATATTTGAGCTGAGCCCTGCAGGAGCAGCCATGGGAGGAGGCGGAGGAATGTTCCAGAAAAAGGGAAAACTGAGTGCAAACTGAATGAAACAATGGATGATCAACAAGCCACTGAGTAGGCGAATGTAAAAATGTATAGGCCCGGGGCCAAGGCCACACGGGGAGGAGGGCGTCCCTGGCTCCCCTCTGCAGGGGTCCTTGTCACAGGCCCATTGCTCCCCTGGCCTCTGCCTCTTCAGTCCATTCTCCTCTGCCTTTTCCCTCACCAGGGGCGCCTCCTCCGGAGTGACTTTGCTGGTCTTTATTGCCGGTAAAGCTGCATGTCATTAGTAACCGTTATCCCTCACCTTCCCAGATGCCTTTCACTTTCACCTTCTGCCACTTGTTTTTTCCTTCACACAGGCCAAGGGCCCCCAGAGCAAAGCTCCTGGGCTTTCTGAGCCTCAGGGTCACCTCTCTGAGTGGGGAGCATGAAGTCTCACTCACAACTTCAGGGTCCTCGAAAGCAGAGAGGGAGGGCGCTGCCAGCCATAGTGCTTCCCATGCCTTGGCTCCCTAGGAAGGGAAAAGCCCACCTCCTGCCGGAGAGACGATTCCTGGACCAATGCCATACAGACCTGGAAGTTGGGCCCGGAACAGGGATAAGGTCAAGTTCATACAGCCAGGAAGTGATGCAGTGGGACCGAAAAGACTTCAGGTGCTCGTTAAGATGACATAACAGTGACATTTCAAGACAATTTTCCCAAGGCCAGCAGCTATATTATCTCAGAAAGTGCACATGAGGACATTTGAGGATGTTGGTCCACAAATACTGTGGGTGTCACTTTTCTTTAAATTTCATATGAATTCAAAATCTCAAAACCTTAAGACAAACAAAATACAAAAATAAACAAGGCCAGTGCTCCTTCCTCCCTGGGCTCAGCATCCAGTGTGCCTGGCTGGGGGCGCAGCTGATGAGGACGCAGAGGGGGCTCACTGCCCTGAGAGGTGGGGGGCCATTTTACCCCTCACTTTGCAAACAGGGAAACAAGCTCAGAGCTGTCCACACAGCCAGCAGGGTTGGAGCAGAGGAGGCTGAGACACTAGGAGAGACGCCGCCATGCAAGGGGCTGCGGGCAGGCAGGGCACGACACTGGGCACCCACTGTTGGGCAAGGAAAGAGAGCCGGGCTACTCCTCCCCACCCTGTAGTACCCTTGGCTTCCTGGGAAGGAAAGGGAGACTCAGGGCTCCCACTCTGGTCCAGGCCTGATTGATCCTCCATGGTCCCCAGAGCCGGTCCCCTCATCCGTACCTCAGGCTGCTACGTGTTTTCTTGTCTCTGATTGTAAACAGATTTGACTAAAGAGGTAAATTAGAAGTTAATTAGAGAGAACATGATTGATGAGGCAGTTTGCCGTGATTGGGAGGTGTGGAAAGGATGGGGCTCCCTGCATGAGGCATGGAATGAGGAGAGCAGAGGGAAGATTCCAGACCAGGGGGTCTGCAGGGCGCCCGGCATAGGGAGCAGTGGCCCAAGGCTGCCCTTTCTCCTGTGCTCCAGGGTAAAGCCAGAGCTCCCTGAGTGTGACATCCGCTGGATCACTCCATGAGATCTTGAACTGTGGGCCAGGCCCCTGCTGGACCCAGGATGCAGCAGCCAAACGCTCATCCTAGATGCAAAGGATGGGCTGGGAAATGCCAATGCTTATCAAACATTTATGGCACTCCGAGCCCTGTGCATTTTCTCAAAACCTCGCAAAGTTGATGCTGAATCTCCATTCTCCAGGCCAGGAGATCGAGATTTGGAGACAAGCCAACTTCCTGTGATGACACAGCCAGTAAAGACAGCAGAGAGGCCTCTACAGCCTTGCCTTTCTGGGGTCCAGCCTGTGTCCAACCTCAGCAGGCCTCTGTGCAGCACCCCCACTTGTGCTCCTCAAAATGGTGAGCTCGCTGCCTTCTGAGGAGGCAGGATAGCTCTGACCCTGGGAACTTCTGTCTTGTCCTTATCCTGGTCCAACTCCCTCCAGCCCCACCTCCAGGCCCTGACTCTGCATACTCACCTGCCTCTGGCAAATGCCAGAACAAAGCCCTCCAGGGTGAAGAGGAGCCTTAGAGGTCCTACTCTGCTCCCTCATTCTCCTGGGGAAACTGAGGCAGAAGGCGGGACACAGCCCCAAGAGTGAGGCAGAGAATGAGGCTCACTGCAAGGCCAGGCTCTCCCCTGGCCGAAGCACAGAGATCCGGCCTCACTGCTACTAGTGCCTGCTTCCCGAGCTGAAGTCACCTCTCACGGCTCACTCACCCACTCCTGCCCTCCTGCGTTTATTCAGCAGGATTGCCTGGGGTCTGACTTTGTGCAGGGCTTCGATAATATGATCATGAGAAACACAGACAGGCCCAGCAGTGCTCAAGCTCAGGCAGGGTGGGCGAGCAGGGTTCCTTCCACAAAGGCTGCCCAGCAGGAACAGAAAAGGAGAAGCAGGCCTTGCCAGGGAGGGCTGCCCCTCCAGAAAATGGCCCTGGAGCCAGCTCGTACATCCAGGCAGGGGGACCTGTGCTTGGGGCCCATTCTAGATGATGCCAGGAGGCCAAGTGGGTGGGAGGGAGTAGGGGGGCTGGAGGAGGAGCAAGGTCATATAAGGAAGCCTGTAGCTGTGAATAATGGGGCTGCAATCCAGCCCCAGGGGGAGAGGGTGGAGGAGGAGAGGGAGAAGGCCTTCAGCTCCATGAGCAGCCTCAGGCTGGATTCCATCTGGGGATACAGGATGGTGTGTTACCCCTCCTGAGAGGAGGAGGCCCAAACTTGAGGGGAGGATCAGGAACTCAGCCCTGGGCAAGTTCAGGAGTGATGTGAGCCAGACAGGGTAGTGCCTGTGTCAGGGCTGACAAGAGCTGGGCACAGACTGGAGAGTCTTCATCTCCAGCTGCTTCGAGCCCCTCCCATCCAGATGCTCCGTGCCCTGGTGGATGAGACAGTTCCCTGCTTCAGCAGGGGAGCCAGGGCTGGCCAGACAGAACACTTTCCCTCCGCCCACTCTAAGCGGGCACTGTGGTAAGTGAAGGGTGTTAACTCGTGCATCAACCTTCTGCGGTAAGTACTGCCCTTACTCCCATTTTACAGACGAAGGAATAGAGGCTCAAAGAGAGAAAGGGCCAAGGGTCACACAGCTTGGAGGAGACAGAGTCAGGATACACTCAGGGAATCCAACAGCTGCCTCTTGAGTGACCGACTGAGCCTCTCCAGCCCCCGTTCCTTCCACTGGGGAGGTGGCAGGTGGATGAGAGCTCCTGCTCAGGGGTTCAGGGACCTCAGGGGCTGGGGAAGCACAGGTGCAGTGAGGGCACCTCAGAGGCAGGAGATGCTGGGGCCAGTGCTGAGCTGGGCTAACCCTGGACCTTAGCCGAGGTGGCCTCCTTGGGGACGTAGGCCTTCTAGCCTCTTTCCTGGCTGGTTCGGGGGCTTCCAGTTCCTTTGGCTGCTAATGTCCAGGATGCAGGACTGTGATGGAAAGGAGTGGGGCCCGAGATCCAGGCTGTCTCTTCCTAGGCCTAGATGACACGTGGCCTCAGAAGTCCCTGTCCTTCCCTGGTACTCAGTTTCCCCATATGTGCAAGGACAGTGGAATATACCGTGATGTCAGGAGGCCCTGACAGCTATTGGTTATTATTGAGGGAGCAAAGGCAAAAATAATCAATACATAATTTATTGAGCGTCTACATCTTTCTCTCACATATCTCGCTGAATTTTCATGAAGGAGTAAGACGAGTGTTGTAATCTCCACTTTACAGATGAGAAAATGGAGGCTCAGAAAGGTGCTCAGAATTCCAGAACGTGGATGGGCCACAGCTGGACTCAAGTCCACCTCTACCCAGCGTGTGTATGGCCAGGCTGAGCCACACCCCTTGAAGGTAGGCAGCTGATGGGGCTTTGGGGTTGGGGTGCACAGGAATGTGGTAGGGAAAGTGCAGTGAAGCGGGCAGAAGCAGCAAAAATAAGCAAATGTGCGATTCTAGTCAAACTTTCCCACCCCTCCAGCTTGCTGTCCGTCAGTACAGTGGGGATTGCCCAGCCCCAACCCAGTGCAGTTTAAGCAAGATGACAGATGGAAAGGCATAGGCACGACGGCTGTTTGTCCAGTGGGTGTCTGGATTCTACCTCATCTGCTCTTTTAAATAAACTTGGGCCTAGAGGAGGGGAGGGAAACACCTCCCAGATGAAGGAACCGAGGTCCAGAGAGAAGAGATCTGCCCAAGATCACCTAAGGTTCAACTCTGACCTGGTGAGTGTTGCCGCAGCAGGGCAGACACCAACTGCCTGGGCATGGATGGGTGGACAGAGCGATGAGCGTGCGCGTGCAGTCCTGCCTTCTCTCTTCCCTCCAAGCTGCCTGGGTTCTCAGCCCAGTCTCTCTTGTGGGCAGAAGGCTGTGGTTCCAAGACCTGCTCCCACCTCACAGCCACTATCTGAGGGATAGGAGATTCAGAAAACCCCACACTGTGCTGCATTGAGGACCACAGCTGGAGATGGCTCTGGATTAGAGTGGAATTCATCCTCTCCTTGAGCTGCTCTGCCATAATTTACAGGCCTTGGCAAGTTCCAGCCATCTAAGCATAATTACTGGGCACCTCGTCTCCAAGTTCTGTCAGTAGGTCACCAATACCAGGAACCTGGGCTGCTCCAAAATGTTGCTACTCTGGCAAGGACCTCTCAGAAGACATCTCTGCCTCTGCCCAGGCCCAGCAGCCTGGGTCAAGTGTGTCAATTTTTGTCCCCAAGCCCACACTTATCAGAAATTTCACCATTAGAATGTCATTCCTTTGGCTTAATGCTCCA